TTTTGTTCCGACAATTGAAAGTAGTAAGGACCTTAACATTCGGGTGTGTTTAAAATTTTTTTTCTCTCCACTTTTTTTGTTTATTCGGGTTTTTTAGTTTATTCCTTTTTTCTTTTTTGTTCTGACAATTGCGAGTAGTGAGGAACTTTGAACTCTCGTAAGCTTAGAATTTTTTTTTTGTTCCGACAATTGAAATTACTGAGGAATTTTTTATTTGGGTGTGTTTTAGATGTTTTTATTTCTTTTTTTGTTCGTGCAATTGAGAAGAGTGAGGAATTTTGTATTTGAGTATTTTAACTTTTTCTTCTTTTGTTCCAACAATTGAAAGTAAAAAGAAACTTAACAATCAGGTAATTTTTAGTATTTTTCTTTTTTTTTCATTCCGACAATTGAGAGTAGCGAGTAAATTTGTATTCGAGTATACCTAAATTGTTTCTTTTCTTTTTTTGTTCGGGAAAATGAGAAGAGTGAGGAATTTTGTTTTCGAGTGTTTTAACTTATTTTCTTCTTTTGTTCCGACAATTGAAAGTAGTAAGAAACTTAACATTCTTGTTTGTTTCGCCCTTTTTTCTTTTCTTTTATTCCGACAAGGGAGAGTAGCGAGTAAATTTGTATTCGGGTATACTTGAATTTTTTTTTCGTTCGGACAATTGAGAATTGTGAGGAGCTTTGTATTCGATTAAGGTCAGTTTTTTTTTGTTTCGACAATTGAGAGTAGCGAGGTAGTCTGTGCTCTGGTTTGTTTTAGTTTTTTTCTCATTTTTGCTCCGATAATTGCGAGTAATGAGAAACTTTGTATTCGGTAAGCTTAAGTATTTTTTCTTTTTTTTTCCGACAATTGAAAGTAATAAGGACCTTAACACTTGGGTGTGTTTAAGTTTTTTTCTTCTTTTCACGTTTTTTGTTTCGACAATTAGAAGTAGAAAGGAACTTAACATTCGGATATGCTTTTTTTCTCTTGTTTTTCCCGACAATTGAGAATAGTGGTAAGTTTTTTATTCGGGTGTGTTTCAGTTTGTTTTAAAATTTTTTGTCCGACAATTTAGAAGCGTGAGGAAATTTGTCTTTGGGTGAATTTTATATTTATACTCTTTTTTTTTGTTCCGACTATTGAGAGTAATAAGGGAATTTCTATTCGGATAATTTTTTATTTTTTCTTTTTTTTCCGACAATTGCGAGTAGTGAAATAACTTTGTATTCGGGTAATCTCAAGTTTTTCTCAACATTTGTTCCAAAGATTGAAAGTAGTAAGGATCTTAACATTCGGGTGTGTTTGAGTTTTTTTCTCTTCACGTTTTTTGTTTAGACAATTAAAAGTAGAAAGGAGTTAACATTCCGATATGTTTTAGCTTTTTTTCCTTATTTTACCCGACAATTGAGAATAGTGGTAAGTTTTGTATTCGGGTGTGTTTCAGTTTGTTTTAATATTTTTTGTCCGACAATTTAGAAGCGTGAGGAACTTTGTCTTCGGGTGATTTTTATACTCATATTTTTTTTTCTCGTTTTGTTCCGACTATTGAGAGTAGTGTGGGAATTTCCATTCGGATAATTTTTTTCCGACGATTGCGAGTAGTGTGGATTTTGAACTGGGCTAAGTTTAAGTTTTTTTTGTTCCGACAATTGAAGGTAATAAGAACCTTAACAGTAGGGTTCAGTAAAGGTTTTTTCCTTTATACTTCTTTGTTCCGACAATTGCGAGTGGTGAGGAGTTTTGCATTTGGGTAATCTCAAGTTTTTCTCAGTATTTGTTCCAAAGATTGAAAGTAGTAAGGATTTTAACATTTGGGTGTGTTTTACTTTATTCTTTATTTTGTTCTGACATTGAAGATTAGTTAAAAAATTACTGAGGACAACAATTGAAAGTAGTAAGAAACTTAACATTCGAGTTTTTGAGAAAATTTTTTTCTTTTTTTATTCCGACAATTGAGAGAAGCGAGGAAAATTGTATTCGGGTTACTTAAATTGTTTTTTTTTTGTTCGGACAATTGAGAGTTATAAGGAGCTTTGTATTCGTATAAGGTCAGAATTTTTATTTTTTTTGTTTCGACAATTGAGAGTAGCGAGGTAGTCTGTGTTCGGGTGTGTTTTATTTTTTTTTCTCATTTTTGCTCCGATAATTTCGAGTAGTGAGGAGCTTTGTATTTGGTAAGCTTAAGTTTTTTTTTCTTTTTTTGTTCCGACAATTGAAAGTAATAAGGAACTTACAATTCGGGTGTGTTAAGTTTTTTTTTCTTTTCACGTTTTTTTTCGACAATTAAAAGTAGGAGGAACTTAACATTTGGTTATATTTTAAGTTTTTTTTCTTTTTTTTTCTCGACAATTGAGAATAGTGGTAAATTTTGTAATTGGGTGTGTTTCAATTTGTTTTAGTATTTTTTTCCGACAATTTAGAAGCGTGAGGAACTTTGTCTTCACTCTTTTTTCTTTTTTTGTTCCGACAATTGCGAGTAGTGAGGAACTTTTTATTTGGGTAATCTCAAGTTTTTCTAAACATTTGTTCCAAAGATTGAAAGTAGTAAGGAACTTAACATTTGGCTGTGTTTGTTCTTTATTTTGTTCCGACATATAAGATTAGTAAAAAAAGTTTTGTATTTGGGTGTTTATTTTTCTTTTTTTGTGTGTTCCGACAATTGCAAGTAGTGAGGAAATTTGTAATTGGGCAATATTATGTTTTTTTTTCAATCTTTGTTCTGACAATTGAAAGTAGTAAGGAAGTTAGGTGTAACTTAGTTTTTTTCTTTTTACATTTTTGTTTCGACAATTGATAAATAATGAGAAATTTTATCTTTGGGTGTGTTTTAGTATTTTTTTTGTTCGGGCTATTGAGAAAAGTGAAGAACTTTGTATTTGGGTAATATAAGTTTTATTTTATTCCGATAATTGAAAGCAGTGAGGAACATTGTTTTCGGTTGTTTTTTAGTTTATTCCTCTTTTCTTTTTTGTTCCAACAGTTGCGAGTAGTGAGGAATTTTGAACTCGGGTAAGTTTAAAATTTTTCTTTTTCTTTGTTCCGAAAATTGAAATTACTGAAGAATTTTTTATTTGGGTGTGTTTTAGATGTTTTTATTCCTTTTTTTTTCGGGCAATTCAGAAGAGTAAGGAATTTTGTATTCGAATAAAATCAGGTTTTTTTTTGTTTCGACAATTGAGAGTAGCGAGGTTGTCTGTATTCGGGTGTGTTTTAGTTTTTTTTCTCATTTTTGCTCGATAAGAGCGAGTAGTGAGAAACTTTGTATTTGGTAAGCTTAATTTTTTTTACTTTTTTTGTTCCGACAATTGAAATTAGTGAGTACCTTAACATTCGGGTGTGTTTAAGTTTTTTTTTCTCTTCATTTTTTTTGTTTCGACAATTGAAAGTAGCAAGAAAGTTAATATTCGGATATGTTTTAGCTTTTTTTTCTGATTTTTCCCGACAATTGAGTTAGTGGTAAGTTTTGTATTCGGGTGTGATTCAGTTTTTTTATTATGTTTTTTGTCCGACAATTTAGAAGAGGGAGGAATTTTCTCTTTGGGTGAATTTTATATTTATACTCATTTTTTCTTTTTTTGTTCCGACTATTGAGAGTAGTGAGGGAATTTCTATTCGAATAGTTTTTGTTTTTTTTTCTTTTCATTTTTGTGATCTGAGAATGAAGAGCAGTGGAGTACTTTGTATTCGTGTATGCCTTACTTGTTTTGTTTTTCAATATTGTTCCGAAAATTGAGAGTAATAAGTAACTTCGTTATCGGGTGTGCATTGATTGTTTTTTTTTCTTTTTTGTTATTCCGACAGTTGATATGAATGAGGAATTTATTTTTCGGATGTAATTTTTTTATTGGTTCCGACAATTGAGAGTAGTGAAGAACTTTGTAATCGGGTGGGCTTTAGTTTTTTTTGTTTCTTTTTGTTCCGTAAGTTGAGAGTAGTGAGGAACTTTGTATTCTGATATGTTTTAGTTTTCCTTTCGTTTTTTCTGTTTTTGTGCCGACAGTTGAGAGTAGTGGTGAACTTTGTTTTCGGGTGTGTTTTTTTTGTTTTTTCTTTTTTTGTTCCGACAGAGAGTAGTGGTGATTTTTGTATTCGGGTGTGTTTTTTTTTAATTTTTTTCCGACTATTGAGAAGAGTGAGCAATTTTTATTCGGTTTTTTCAATTTTTTTTTCTTTTTTCAAGTTTGTGAGTAGCGAGGAACTTGATATTCGAGTGTTTTTTTGTTGTTATTTTTTCGTTTTAGTCAACCTTGATTACAAGGTCAAACTGTGAAGTGAAGGAGCGCACATTTTTAAGTCTCGATAATCCTGGATCCCAGATACAAGTCTTTGAACAGGTAGAATATCTTTCAGAACAACCAAACAAAATGAAAAAAAAAACAAAAACAAAGTAAGAACAAAGGACGAGTCCTTCTTGGGGAGTCCTCTTACGATTCGCAAAATACATAATTTAGGCTTGTAATGTTGTTTTGTTTTCGAGGAAAAATCTGGTACCACTAATAAAAATGGTAATGGGTCAAGTGATATGTCATATTAAAGATCTTCCAGTCGCGCTGGGATCGACTTACAAAAAGTAATGGCAGTATTGAGAAAAATATATTCAAAATTGTTTTTGGTTTTTAGTCTAAAATTGAGCAAATAATGCAAGCGAGCAGGCTTACAATTGCTCATTTTTGCTTAATATAGGCTGTGAAAACTTGTTTGGCTGTGGAAAAAAAAGCTTATTAACTGCAGGTGGGAATTGAAAACTTCACAATTTCAAAAAATTTAAACAAAAAATGAAATTATTTTTGTTATTTTGTTTGTTTTGGTTTTTTTCTTTAAAATTGTTGTCCATTTTGCGTATTTTACTAAAACAGTCAAATATGTTCAAGTTCCAGTTTTTCGTTCAGTTCCTTTCATCACACAACGCAAAAAAAAAACGGTCGGAACAGTCTGTGCTAGTTGCAAAGAAAACGGCTATCCTTGTTGATGTTTACCTTGCGGGGGAAAATTTTGTAATGCTATACAGCTGGCGGTATTTTCGACGTACCAGTGTCCGTAGTCAAGGTGCTGTCGAAGGAGGGTGTGGGGTTGTACAGTGAAGTACTTGTCCACTTCGGGCATGTTCATGTCGTCAATAAAGTAGACCAACCGTTTGTTCCCAGGGGGACCATAACTCTTGCCCGCCTTTTTCTCGAGGGGTTTCTCCAGAATCTAATTAAAACTCCGCGCTTGATTAATAGCTAAATAAGCTGTATTTCTGACAGTTTCATTTAAGTCAGAGCAATTAAAAAAAGATTAAGGTTTTTGCCATTGCAGATTAAGATTTTTGCTTCAATTTATTTGCCATAACAAAAAGAACATCAAATCGATAAGGAAAAACATCAGAGTTAATGAAAAAGGACAACTGATTTTTGATTTTGGTATTTTACAACAGATTGTAGTATTCAATGTCTACAAAGTGTTTCGCTATCAATGTGAATTGATATTATCCATCTTTCAATAAACCGGTGGACTTGTTTGACGAATGATTCCAGAACGCTGCAGTGGTTGAATGGTAGATTTGTTAATTGGCTGCGCCATAATGAAGAAATGATATGCTACAAGTAAATTATATTCTTAAAAATGTAAATTGAATTCAAGTTACTCTTTAGCTATGTTATAATTCTGGATTTAGTTGTAGTTTAGAGTTATAAGAAATATTTTTTTGCCTAACTAATTTCACTTGTAGCATATTAGTTCATGGCGCAGCCAAAATAAGGAAACTAATATTCAACCACTGCAGCGTCCTGGAATCACTCGTCAAAATAAAAGTCACCGGTTCATAAAAAGATGTAGACTGAACAGTTTCAAATCAGCTTGATAGCGAAACGCATTGTAGACATTGATCTCGGAAACTATCCTAAGGTATGGCTGAAAAAAAAATCCCCGCAAACGGTGGCTCCAGAAAACGAACTCTCCACGGCCAAATCTACCAGAGAAAAATTCCTTTCACTTTAAAACACCTGTAAAATAATGGAAAGAGAGAGAGAAAAAAACTTTGATGTCATTCAACAACAAGCAGAAGCCGACGATACCTGATGTCTGTTGATTAATTACCCAACCATGACAAACCTGCACCGACAGATCTTTTGCAAACTATTTTGATTTCAAGCTTTTCCGTTCAAATTGCATAAGAAATCACTCGTTTTGCGTAGAGCATTATAGTTATATTATTTGACTTTTTCGCACTTTTAATATTTGTTCAAAAACTCTGAAATTAATTTACATAATTTTGCAGGTACAGTTTGTCTCTTCATTTACCTTATCTGCTCTAGAAGTTCCATGAGTTTTCTACCATAGTAATATCAAATACAACAGGTATTAGAAGCAAGTAGCAGTACATGAACTTCAAATACTTTTACTGTAATTCCGCGACTCCAATTCCGCTGTCGAATGTAATTTTTGCGACTGTAATTCCGCAGTCGAGAAGCAATTTTAATTCGGGCACAATGTCAAATAATAACCGATTTTGGTCGAGAGAGTCGAAACATAAGTCGAGCACAGTTGAAACATACCCAATTTTGGTCGAAAAGGTCGAACCACAGGTTGAGCAGTCGAAAAATTTTAAATTTTTGTCGAGAAAGTCAAAACATAGGCCGATCTCAGTTAAAACATAGGTCGAGTACAACCCATTTTTTGCATAATTTTTTTTTGAAGATTTAAGTTAATTTTACATAGGAAACTGAGCAGAAAAAAAAACTTCTTCGAAAAAACAGCCGTCAGAAAGTTGCAATCAGCAACAATCTATTGTATTGCCGATCTAAAGAGTCCCCCCTTTTAGCTATTTTGTGATATCCATTTTTGGTGACAGACTTAAAAATTTTCTAAAGGCGCCAATATGCACTAATTTTGAGGGGGGAGCGCGCGAAAAAAAATGCTTTTTTTGGTCAAAATTTTCCCAAAAAAAGCCCTAAAATGCCATTTTGGCCCCTGTTTTTTCAAACTCTTGCCTGCGGACCAAAACAATTTGGCGGAAAAAGAATCTTTTTAGTGCTTTGGGAGATCTCGGAAAAACAATATGGTCGATCTAAAAAAAAGGTCGACAAAAAATTAAAATTTTCGAATACTTTTTGAAAATCGGCCCCCCTCGAGAAAATCCTAGATCTGCCCCTGGTTAAGATATTCAATCAAATTATCTCAAAAATTATTGAACTTGACCTAAATTTTGCTGATAAAATTACGTCCACGCGTATTTCACTTGCCGAATTACCTGCTTTTTTCCTGTAAAATCAACTGATATTTTACCGGTTAAGAACGTAGCAATCCATACTTTCCCAATAAAATTTAAATTCTTGCAGTATATTTTACTTTATTTGAGTTAATGGCTCCTAGAAAAAAATACTTGAGCAAGTGATGTGTATAAAAAAAATTTAAAAACTTTTTAGTAATTAAGCACAGTTTTTTACAAGTTACCAACCCAAGAAGCAGTGAGAAGTGACAGACCTCCCTTTCTGATCCTAATCAAATCTGACATTGGGGTGGACAGATTTGGTTCTGGCAAGCATGTCATAGACTCTAACTCAGTAAAATATCAAAATAAACTAAACTGAAAATTAAAAAAAACTTACCCATTTGAAATACTCGTGAATACTTAGGTACCTTTGCTCGCAAAAAAAAACAATAGAAAAAAAGACAAGATGTAAAAGATTACAGTTTTTTTACTCCAGGACTAGTTTCTTTTGGTCTGAGCGATAGTCTGTCAATAGTTCATTCGCCAAGCTAAGCTGAACCCAATGATTGCCAAGTTCTCTTCAATTAACTCACTTCTTCAATAATGAAAATTAGAATCCTTTTCAATCCAACTTCAATGATACAATCCTTTTCAGCTTCTGATTCAGTTCCCAAAAGATGAGTTCCCTCCTAATTAAAATTCAGATGACCGATTTCCATTTCCAAGGGATGAGGCCGGGAAATGCGTCGCTTTTCGGTGTTAATCACAAAGATTTTTAAGCAATTTTCTTTTTAAACGCCCTATCCTCTTCTAAAGCTCACCCCGGCGTCCCCCAGGGTCAAATTTCCTTCATCGGGTTCAAAAACCCCTGAGGTTTCAACCTCCTAAGTTTCAACAACATCCCACTCATATTTCCCAAGTTATCTCAAGAAGGAGTCAACGGAGGGGATTTAGTCAGTGGTAGACTCTTTTCGGGGTTGGTGTCTGGGGACTTTTGCCGTTATAATATCAATATGCCCTTGCATATTGTTTTGCGTAGATTTTTCGTTTCTGGGTGAAAGATTATTTAAACTCCAGTGCAACCATGGGATTTGGCTCAAACGATAATTGATGTTCATTGGGGACCGAAAAACGTCCTCCGGAAATTAGGTTGGGGCCTATTTGCTTGAAGCAAAACACCGGAAGGAAACCATGGGGTCTGGGGTATGAAACTAAAGTCAAAACATAGGCCGATCTCAGTTAAAACATAGGTCGAGTACAACCCAAATTTTGCATAATTTTTTTTTGAAGATTTAAGTTAACTTTACATAGGAAACTGAGCAGAAAAAAAAACTTCTTCGAAAAAACAGCCGTCAAAAAGTTGCAATCAGCAACAATCATTTGTACTGCCGATCTAAAGAGTCCCCCCTTTTAGCTATTTTGTGATATCCATTTTTGGTGACAGACTTAAAAATTTTCTAAAGGCGCCAATAAGCACTAATTTTGAGGGGGGGAGCGCGCGAAAAAAAAATGCTTTTTTGGTCAAAACTTTCCCAAAAAAAGCACTAAAATGCCATTTTGGCCCCTGTTTTTTCAAACTCTTGCATGCGTACCGAAACAATTTGGCGGAAAAAAAATTATTTTTAGTGCTTTGGGAGATCTCGGAAAAACAATATGGTCGATCTAAAAAAAAGGTCGACAAAATTTTAAAATTTTCGAATACTTTTTGAAAATCGGCCCCCTCGAGAAAATCCTAGATCTGCCCCTGGTTAAGATATTCAATCAAATTATCTCAAAAATTATTCAACTTGACCTAAATTTTGCTGATAAAATTACGTCCACGCGTATTTCACTTGCCGAATTACCTGCTTTTTTCCTGTAAAATCAACTGATATTTTACCGGTGAAGAACGTAGCAATCCATACTTTCCCAATAAAATTTAAATTCTTAAAGTATATTTTACTTTATTTGAGTTAATGGCTCCTAGAAAAAATACTTGAGCAAGTGATGTGTATAAAAAAATTTAAAAACTTTTTAGTAATTAAGCACAGTTTTTTACAAGTTACCAACCCAAGAAGCAGTGAGAAGTGACAGACCTCCCGTTCTGATCCTAATCAAATCTGACATTGGGGTGGACAGCTTTGGTTCTGGCAAGCATGTCATAGACTCTAACTCAGTAAAATATCAAAATAAATTAAACTGAAAATTAAAAAAAACTTACCCATTTGAAATACTCGTGAATACTTAGGTACCTTTGCTCGCAAAAAAAAAACAATAGAAAAAAAGACAAGATGTAAAAGATTACAGTTTTTTTACTCCAGGACTAGTTTCTTTTGGTCTGAGCGATAGTCTGTCAATAGTTCATTCGCCAAGCTAAGCTGAACCCAATGATTGCCAAGTTCTCTTCAATTAACTCACTACTTCAATAATGAAAATTAGAATCCTTTTCAATCCAACTTCAATGATACAATCCTTTTCAGCTTCTGATTTAGTTCCCAAAAGATGAGTTCCCTCCTAATTAAAATTCAGATGACCGATTTCCATTTCCAAGGGATGAGGCCGGGAAATGCGTCGCTTTTCGGTGTTAATCACAAAGATTTTTAAGCAATTTTCTTTTTAAACGCCCTATCTTCTTCTAAAGCTAACCCCGGAGTCACCCAGGGTCAAATTTTTCTCTTCGGGTTCAAAAACCCCTGAGGTTTCAACCTACTAAGTTTCAACAACATCCCACTCATATTTCCCAAGTTATCTCAAGAAGGAGTCGCCGGAGGGGATAAAGTCAGTGGGAGACTCTCTTCGGGGTTGGTGTCTGGGGACTTTTGCCGTTATAATATCAATATGCTCTTGCATATTGTTTTGCGTAGATTTTTCGTTTCTGGGTGAAAGATTATTTAAACTTCCAGTGCAACCATGGGATTTGGCTCAAACGATAATTGATGTTCATTGGGGACCGAAAAACGTATTCCGGAAAATAGTTTGGGGTCTATTTGCTTGAAGCATAACACCGGAAGGAAACCATGGGGTCTGGGGTTCCAAACTTAAGCTTCCCTCAACATGGTTTATAACCTACTAAGTTTTGGTCTCATTCTAACCCCTAGATACTGAGTTCGGGTAGGGCCATTCGCACTTCCGGGAAAAGCTACCACTTGGGGCAGGGGTCATAAGGTCCGGATTTTTAGACGGCGGGGTCAAATCATCTCTAGAGTTTGTAGTACCGTCCTAAAACTTTCACCAGAGGTTGGAGCAATTCTTTCAAAATTCGAATTATTTCGAGATTGGTCATGGGTTTGCTTTTCTACTTATCGTACTTTTTAGTTAATACCAACTTACAAATTACTCATAAGAATTCACTTTACTGCATGGATTTCTCAAGGAAAAAATTTCAATCGAATTCTGAGTTGGTGAAAAAGTTTTAGGATCACCGATCCTACAGTTTCGACCATAGTTATCAGAAAAATCTTTGAAAATCTCAAAAAAGCTTTTGCGTGTGGTGTGATGAAAAATCAACTCAAACGCATTTACCGCTACTAAACTAGGCGTAGTTGTCAACATTTGTCTTCAAAAAAACGACTAAAAATCAAATTGAAAAAAAAAATCGAAAAATTTTTCAAATGAAGCTATCAGAAGCTTTCATTGAGTTGCCAATGAAGCTATCAAGACTAGTTTTTCTGCAGCAACATTAACTACCTAACAAAAAAAATTCACGCTTAGGACCTGCTCATTTTTGTAAGTAGTTCATTTTTTTCTCGACACTTAGCACATTTGTTTTTTTTCTCCTAATAATCCTTTTTGTCTTGATTCTGTTAGGAATGATTACTGAGCCAGATTAATTTGCTGCGTTTGCCGAGCTCTGATGGTACCTATGTATTTGGGTAATTTCCAATTATCCAATGCTCTTTGTTACCATATACAAGCTGCTGGATTGCGGGTTGGAAAATTTCTTGTCCTACAATGTCATACAGGTTCAAAATTTGTATGAAACTTCTCTCATTAGCCTTTTTTGCACAAAAAAATTGTGTGATATGCAGTTTTTCACAGATGAAGTTTGAATGGCTATCTTTTTTCCATAAACTGAAAAGCAAAAAAAATGAGTTCCACTTTCAAATTTTGTGTTCATTCCGAAAATCAAATAATCAAGGATTTTCTCATTCAAGAAATCCCAGAAGTCAAATGTCGACAATTACTCAGATAAGCCTTTCCATGTTAATTGAGGTTACAGATACTCAGTTGATTACAAAAAAAACGTCTAGTTTTTTAAGGCTAAAAAGTTATACCCTCAACAAATCAACGGTTGAAAAAAGTAGACTGCTTTTATAACAGATTAAGGTTTCTTAAAAAACTGCAATATCGGCTACAAAATTTTTTAACTTGATTTTCGTATAACTTGTGTGAAAGTTTTAACCTGGATTACGTTGTAACAAATTGCAAAAAGATCCAGAAATTTTCTTTTGATCACAGAAGGGAGATTGCGTTCAAAAACAAAAGATATGGAAAATTTTTCTGTGAAAAATAAATCATCATAAAATTTCTGAACGTGAAATATATATGTTCAGCATCTTTCTTCCAAAAAACCAGAGTGCCAACTTTTTATCAGTTCAAATTTTCAAACCGTCAAATAAACAAAAAATTTTATAAAACAAGTTTTAAAACGTGCATGAAAATTGATTAACAATCTTCTTTTCGAATGAGCTCTAATTATGAAACTGCAGGATTAGCAGCTTTTTAAGGAGAGGTCAACTCGAGTGATTTGCTTAACAAATTTTCTCGATTATATCGGTTCCTTCGTAGTAAATTGTCTTGTCTATTGGAAATTTATGAGTTTATACTTCTTTTCAAGCTCTTCGCCAGACCGAGCAAAAACATCGTATCAGAGTGAAGATCCTTACAGTTTTTACTGCCTCTGTATGCGTTCAAACTGATTTTGTGGTCAAAAAACTGTTATAATACTTTTAAATAATGGGGAAAATGAAATCCTCTACAAAACCAGCAAACACTTGAAAAGCCCTATATACAATGGTGCATTTTGTACCTAGTTACTCTTTGTTTCAACCTCTACTAGCTTGTATCATCTCAATTAGGAAATCAATTTTTGGTTGGATTTTCCCGCTACGCGTTAAAAGAGAAATAAAAAGAGCCTCACACGATTCCAATTGCTATGAAATGCCAGTATTTTGCACATCAAAAACAAACTGCCTGTTCAAAGTGTGTTTTTTTGTAACTCAAAACACCTGGAAAAACATGTAAATCTAAGTCCTGGAAAGTGAGTGCAAAAACAAACCACATGCTGAGTAATACAACCCTACTTATGTACATAACTTTTTCCTGTTAAAGGTGATCATTTTGTCAATTTATGACACGCAAGCCTGTAAAACGGCTGCTTTTGGCCAAAAAATTGAGCCTTCTGCGTTAATATGGTGCAATTAGCTTGACCCGCAAAAATTGCCGGACGTATACAGGAGTACAGGACTGCCTCGAGAAAACAGTCCCAGGAAGAGTCAGTTATTGGAGAATGGTTGACGTAACGGTTAAAACCGCTGCCAAAATGCCCATCTTTAGATAAAACATAATATATCATTTAATTTAACAATAAGTGGTATTTTTTATTGAATCAATTTGCCCAAAAAGCGCCCTATTTTTCGGGCGTCAAATTATTTAGCTGGGCAGTTTTTTGTTTTCCCACGAAATAATTGATCTCTCGCGATAGCAATCTATTTACCGTCTGAAGCATCTCAGAGGTAGTGTAGAAGTTGAATGGGACATTAGCAATAACATAGTCATCAGAGTTCAGACTCTCCAGTTTGTTGTTCATCATCACTGTCTTTCCACAGCCAGAGGTTCCCACCAACATCACTGGTCGAGCATTACTCATCAACATGTCCATGAAGTAACGCACCCGCACTGTCTCTGCCGTGTTCACCAGCACAGCCTAAAGCAGATCAAGTTTACTGGAAGACAGCTACGTTACAAACTCAAGAAATACAGCTTTTACAAATAAAAGCGTGTTTTTATATAAACTTTTTCGGCAACTTGGTGTCAAGAGGGCAGCCCTTTAGGTTCTGTTCAGTTTTCAGCATTTCAATCGTCAACGTTTACATCAGAAGATCCTTTTCTTCATTGAATTTTCTTCTTATTATTATATCGCAAATATCCTAAATTTAAAGAAAGAGCGCATAAAAAATAAGCAAACCAAATAAAAGTAAATAAAACAAGGATAGCCGGTTGTTGTACAAATAGCAAAGAATGTTCAGATCACCGTTTCAGAAACCCCTTTTTCCCCTCAATTTAGTGTCTTTATTGTACGTGGCGTGATGATAAAACTATACGAATGCGTATAGGTTTAGCGAATTAGGCATACACGAATCCAATGGTCTTCAAAAAATAAATAAGTAGAGAAAAAAAAACATAGAAAAAAGTTCGAAACAAAAACTAAATTTCTTGAAACTTTTTTTTGCGGCGAAGAATTTCTTTTTGCCAAAGAAGAGCTAAATGAAGCTTCGAAACCTTCGTTTAGCTCTTTTCCTATTAGGAAAATAAACAAATTTCGACTTAATTTTTAAATTTTATGCATAACAAACGTTACTCGATCGCTTTATTAGCTCGAAAATAGCCGAAAAATAAATAGTTTCAAGTCGGTTTTTCTCGACACCAAAAGTTGGTTTTTCAAATAGATTCGGGAGAAATCCCTTGAGAAAAAGGCTAGCAAGAGTATGGTACCCCTCGAAACCAACGGTTGGTTTATTTCATGACAAGAACATGCCCGAAGAGGTCAGGTACTTCACTGTGCAACCCCACACCCTCCTTCGATTGCACCTCGACTACAGACATTGGTACGTCGAAACTACTCCCATTTGCTTAGAATTGCAAATTTTATCCCTGAGATGCAAAAATAAACAAGGATAGCCGGTTTCTGTGCAACTAGCACAGACCATTCCGACCCTAGTTTGAAAATACAAAAAAGTCTGAATGGTGTCATTTTTGCGTGGTGTGACAAAAGGATCTGAACCAAAAGCTGGAACTTAAACATGTTTGACATTCTTAGTGAGGTAGGCATATTAAACAAAATTTTTAAGGAAAAATGACTAAGAAAGAAAACAAACGAAACGTCGAAAATAAATTCAAATATTGCTGAAATTGTTTGAAATTTTTTTGCTGAATTTTTTTGAAATTTTTGAAGCTCCTAATTCCCAAATGGCGCTAAAACAACTCCTAAGAAACTTTTGTTCAGTAAGATTAAGGTTTTTTAGTCAACCATAGGTAAAAATAGTTTACTTTAAGCCTTCTCGCTGGAATTATTTGCTCCAACTTAGACCAAAAATCAAAATTTTAAAAACTATTTTCTTGATACTTGTACAACCTTTTAGAAATTGTTCGAAGTTTTGTTCGAAAAACTACTAAAAAAGTTTTCTTATAACTAATCACTCGAACTATTATCATTATTACTTGATTTACATGTATTTGGTAAACAAAAAGAAAATGTATCAAGGATAGCCGTTATCTGTGCAAGTAGCTCAGAATGTTCCGACCACATTTTCAGCACGATTTTTAAAAAAAATTTTTGAGACAAATCTAAATTATGTGTAGTTTTTTGTCCAGCCATGATGACTTATTCGTAAAAGAATTATACTAAAACTAATCTCTTCTGGTATCACCTATTTACCGCGTTAAATACCCTGTTAGATTCTCTGTTGCCTGCGACGGCGGATGGGTGCTATCTTTCTCGGAAAGGTTTTTTTGGTTGGAACGGGCAGTTTTTCATTGTTTATTCGCAAACAAGGAAAAACTTGTTAAAAGATTTTGATTTATTTTTTCATTTTACTAACTTATGCATCGCTTAAAACTTTCAAACACTTTTTCATTCGTTAAAACCATTTACCACTTTTACTGCCAAGCTCGACCAAGCTGTTTTCAACTGCATTAAAAGTAATAGAGCGTGTTTTTCAGAAATGAATGGCATATGGGAGCTTTTGAAACCAAATAAATTGCTAGAATCCGGAAATTTATAACAAACTTTTAAAAATTATTTTGTAAAATTCATATTTAAAAATTTTATAATTTCCCTCATGTTGAAAAGTGATATTCTCATTTAAAAAAAATTACTTGGTTGGAAAGTTAATCATTAAATTATTTTAATGACGGATTATTTTCTTTCTGATTTCAGATTGCATAATCAAAGTCTGAGAATTTCTTTGTGTCGTTTATGCCTACCAAATGTGGGTAGCAAAACAACATACAGTGTATCCCAAACAATCTCAACCAAGTGTATCCCAAACAATCTCTTTGGTAATTAAAGCGGAATTCCGCTTTAATTACCAAATCATTTCACATGAAATTTGAGTCACGTTTTTAGCAGCTTAAGACTCAATTTTCTTAAAAATGATACCACTGAAAAATGAGTGAACAAAAAGTTCACTCAATATTTCACTCCGCAAAGTAGCAAACTGCATTGAGTTGTTGGTTCTCACTTTTAGAACTGATGCTGTTTACAATCGAGCAGCGAATCTTTTTTGATTTAAAAAATGCCAGTACAAAACGAACAGATGAGACAATTGGTCAATTCGCTTTTATATTTTCAAATCAATCCCCCGCAAACAGATCTCGAGTGGGTAAGAATTACAAAAAGCACCAAGAAAAAGTCACCAGTCAAAATCTGAATAAGATAACTCCGGGAGACCAAAATTGAGCACAAAATATGCAAAGGTTCTTGCTATACGACAAGCTGCTGTTGCTAACCCAGAAAATCGAAAACATCTACAAGTTGATACGTTTTATTTTGTCTGGTTTCCAAGCTTTCTCTGAATAAATTGTTAAAATAATTTCTTCGGAAAATCTTTTTGGGAGAGTCAAAAAACGGCGGTAGTCTTTTTTCCACTTTGAACAAAAACAATTATCAGCCACTACTACACAACGTGTGTCTTGGGCTGCTAGGTATGTGTGCAAATTTTCAACAAAATATTCCAGTTGGGATTCTTTTTTTGGGACACCCTGTGTTGTGTACCTTTGAAGTGAGAGGTAAGACAACCCAACCATTTAAGGTGGAAGATAAGATAGCCTAACAGTTTAATGTGTGGGTTAAGACAACCATGTGAGGACAGACCCAACGTTTTTTCATCATTTTAAAGAAATTTCACTCGAGTGGACCAACATTACGAAGCCAAACTGTGAGCTGGATAGGCGCACAATTTTTTGTCTGAATTCAAGAGAAATAATTTTGTCGGAACGATCAAATTAAAAACAAAAGAACAAAAGAAGTAACAAAGAGAGCGTCCTTGCTGCGGAATCTGCTTAAAAATCACAAAATTCACAGTTTGGGCTCGTAATGTATCTTGCGTCAAAAAAATGTTAAAGATTAGTTTATTGGAACAGTTGCATTATCGCAAAATAAATCAACGTACACCAACTTTTTTCTCGATTGAAGGGCAAGAAGTGATATTACTAAATAATTCAGTTCAGTTCATCGAAATATTTAGTGTGGGGTTTACTTTGGTTACCACTAACTTCCATTACGAGTGCTAACTGTGCCCTGGATAGTTTGCATGTTTGGATGGTGATACCAGAAGAGATTTGTTATTAAAAGCGGAAGAGAGTTCCATCAATAGAAGTTGATTAAGTTTGGAATTTTAGATTCGAATCTTTAAAGTGAAAATTAATCGATCATTTTTAATTGAAACTGGATTAATTAGCTGTTTTTTAATAAAGCAATAATAACCCTTGCATATAATGTGAAATCGATTGTTTTTCGCTTTTATAGACAAAGAAGATGAAGTTTTATTACCAAAGATTTTTTCTTACTTAGTTTAGATCAACGCGAAAATCAACGCACACGAAAGTGTTTGAACGTTTCAAACTCGATTTGGTTACTTATTTTTCCATTTTGTTGCTATCAAATTTTTTATGGATTATTTAAATATTTAAGAGGCGTGAGGGGTTCAAAATGCTAGGTGGAAAAATTTTGTTTATATCTAGGTATGTATATAAGTATGTATATACTAATTTTGAGAGGGATCGCGCGCTGAAAAAGTGCTTAAAAAAGGCTTTTTTTGTGGGAGAGTTGGGTTTAAGGTACAAGTGGACCAAAAAACGGAGGGGTGGGGGTAAGGGACAAGGGGGTAAACGTTGGGGGATGAAGGGTAAGAAGACACACAAATGGAACGTGGGTTAAAGGGGCAAAATTTGGGGGAGGTAGAGGGGGTAAACGTTGGTGAGGGGACGAAAAAGGTTTTATGAGTTTAGAAATCATATCAGCTGTACATAATTTTTTTGCAAAGTTTCTTTATCACATTTGTCATCAAGGCAGATCTAATTAAGTGGAAAAAATTATATTTATCTGATTTTAAATGAATTAAATTGGATTATAAACAATGGATTATAATCGATTTTTTATTACTTTTCGTTGTTGAAAGCAATTGTATTGTACTTTTTGTATTTTTGCTGAAGGCAACATGAGATTTAAATTTTCAAAAACTTTAAGGCATCAAGAAAACCAATTCTTATTGATTTTTTCATTTTCCTTAGACGCGGGTATGAATGGATGGATATGTTTCTGGATGTATGGAGATGTGTATGTATGCGTGTATGTCTGTAAGTATGTATGGTTGGATGGGTGTTTAAGTTTTATGTTTGGTTTATTGTGTGTAAACGTGCATGATTAGATGAGTGTTCCTATATATTTATGGTTGACTGTGTGTTATTATGTAAGTTGTAAGGTTGGATTTGTGTATGTATGTATCTGAATGCGTATTTATGAATGACTCGATGTGCGATTGTGTACAGTTGGTTGTGTGTTTGCTTATGTATCATTAGATGTGTCTATGTAGGGTTGGATGTGATTATCTATGTATGTATGTATGGTTCGATGTGAGTATATATGTACCTGATTGCTCATGTATGAATGGCTCGATGTGCAATTGTGAAAAGTTGGTTGTGTGT